GGAGATCCGGGTTCAATTCCCAGACAATGAACTTCATGTCAGCCACCTCCTATCTTTTGGATGGCGTGTTGCTGTGATGCTGAACAAGTTTCAGCAGATTTTCCAGATTAAGAGGGACTAGGAAGAAAGGCCTGGCAATCTACTGAAAATCAGCCAACGAAAACCCTATGGGTCACTACCATCTGATCTGCAGCCGATCATGGGGATGGTGTTGGACCAGGCAGCGTTTTCATTCTGTTGTGTGTGGGGTCACTGTGGGTTGAGGACCAACTTGACAACTGAAAACTACAAGAGCCCTTGGCTTTGAGGAGAGAAAGAAGAGCCCTCCCCACGTGGTTGACTGCTCTTTCTCAGGTTAGACCTGAATCTGAACTGGGTCCAGTCTTTTTATATTGACAGGGGCGAGGAGGGGCATTGCTGTGCCAGTTCTGAACTGACACCTCCGGCAAGCCCACCAGGGTGGTCACTGGCCCATCCCCAGCAGCTCACTGGGGGTGGTGGGGATCTTAGAACTTTAGAATGTAGGATATTTAGAGCCTTCTGTCTTTAGATTGGAGCCTTGCTGGCACAGTGGTTAAGAGCTCAGCTGCTAACCAAAATGTCGGCAGTTCGAATCCACCAGCCGCTCCTTGGAAACCCTATGGGACAGTTCTGCTCTGCCCTATAGGGTCACTATGAGTTGGAATTGACTTGACGGCAACAGGTCTGGTGTGTGTTTTTTTTTTTTTGGTCCTTAGATTTGAGCCCTTGTGGCACAGTGGTTAAGAGCTCGGCTGCTAACCAAAAGGCAGGCAGTTTGAATCCACCAGCCACTCCTTGGAAACCCTATGGGGCAGTTCTGCTCTGTCCTATAGGGTCGCTATGAGTCGGAATCAACTTGATAGCAGTGCGTTTGGTTTGGTTTGGGTCCTTAGACTTGGGCCTCAGCTGCAATGTGAAAATACGTGTAAGTCCCACTTGATACCCTTGTCTCTTTATATTGGTGTTAATGCTCTCAGCTCTGCCTCCACCCCTTGGCTGCCTTAAATAAGTTCCTTACCCTCTCTGGTCTCATTCTGTAAAAGGAAGGACTTGTGGTGGGCAAACTCCGAGCCCCCTCCAAGAACTTGCCCATGGGCTATGGGGGAAGAAATCAGCCTACAACGACAAAGGGCCTGTATTAATTTCCTAGGGCTTCCATAATGCATTACCACAAACTGGATGGCGTAAAACAATACAAACTCAATCTCTCACAGTTCAGCGGAGAAGTCCAAATTCAAGATGTCGGCAGTGCTGCACTTCCTCTGGAGGCTTGAGGGAAAATCTCCTTTCTTGTCTCATCCAGCTTCTGGTGGTTTTGGCATTCCTTGGCTTGTAGCTGCATCACTCAATTTCTGCCTCTGTCTTCACATAGCCATCTTCCATCCGTATGTGTGTGTCTGTCTTCAAAGCTCTCTGTCCTTCGAAGGACACTAGTCATTGAATTTAGGGCCCCCTATTCCGGTATGACGCATCTTAACTTGATTACATCTGTAAAGACCCTGTTTCCAAATAAGGTCACATTCATAGGTACCGGGGGTTAGGACTTGAACATATCTTTTTGGGAGACACAATTCAACCCCCAACAGGTCCATTGAGTGCCATCTGGGCCAGTCATTCATCCTCTCAAACTCAACCTTTTCAAGGTGCTGGTTCTTTTAGCGCTATGAGTCGGAATCGACTCGACGGCAACGGGTTTTTTTTGGTTTTTGGTTCTTTTAGCTTCTCCACCAGGCAGCTACGAGTTGGACCTGGCTCTGAGCCAGGACTGAGCTTGAAAGGGTCTTGTATTTGGGCCGCCATCAAAAGTGAAAGGGTGAGACTTCATCTCAAATTTTAATTTCCAAGGACACTCATCCAAGCCAGGTGTTGGCACCACTTGCGCATGTGGGAGGGGTCTAAAAACCTGAAATCTGCCCAGTCTGGTTTCAACACTCAAGGTCAGTGGACTTATGACCTCTGCTACCTGTGGAGGAGCCTACAAACAAAAGGTCCAAAGGCAACTGTAAACACTGCCGTGGAAGGGTCAAGTATGTCTTTGGACTTCCAGGTGCCATTAATGGAAATATCCAAATCCACAGTCCTTGTTATGGATTGAATTGTGTCTCCTAAAAAGATATGTTGAATTCCTAACTTCCATACCTGCGAACGTGACCTTGTTTAGAAATCGGGTCTTTGAAGATGTCATCAGATAAAGTAATGTGTGGCGTACCCTAGTAAGGTTAGACCTAATCCCATCTGAGTTGTGTCCTATAAAAGAGAAGAGACATGGAGAGACAGAGGAAGGACAGTCATGTGAAGATGCACCTACAAGCCAGGGAAGAGACAAGAGACAAGAAAGGAGAGCATGTCCCTCCTGACACCCTGAATTTGGACTCCTAGCCTCCAAAACTGTGAGACAATACGTTTCTGTGCCTATAAGCCACCCAGTTTATAAGATTTTGTTGCAATAGCCCTAGGAAACTAATACAGTCTTAAATCACTATTGAAAGTTTTTCTGAACTCATTTCACCAGCTCAATAGCCAGAAGGCTGGGGAAAGGTGTGAGACCTGGTAAGGCTTATTAGTCTGTGCTCTAGACCAGCCCAGCAACCTGGCCCTGTCTCCAGAGTCTAAGTCCTTGGCAAGCTTACTCCTGCACCCAGAACTTAGCACATGCTGTCTCCTTTTTCTGGAATGGTCCCCCCTCTCACTTTTCTCCTGCCTTCCTCCTCCAGCTTAAGTGTCCCTTCTTCCAAGAGGCTTCCCTGACCTCCCAACAACCTAGAGTGTTGTTGTTAGGTGACGTCGAGTTGGTTCTGACTCATAGCAACCCTACGTACAACAGAATGAAACACTGCCTGGTCCTGCGCCATCCTCACAATTGTTGCTATGTTTGAACCCATTGTTGCAGCCACTGCGTCAGTCCATCCCATTGAGGGTCTTCCTATTTTTTGATGACTCTCTCCCGTACCAAGCATGATGTCCTTCTCCAGAGACTGGTCCCTCCTGATAACATGTCCAAAGTACCTGAGACAAAGTCTCGTCATCCTCGCTTCCAAGGAGCATTTTGCCCGTACTTCTTCCAAGACAGATTTGTTTGTTCTCCTGGCGTACCACGGTATATTCAGTATTCTTTGCCAACACCAGAATTCAAAGGCATCAATTCTTCTTCAGTCTTCCTTATTCATTGTCCCGCTTTCGCATGCCTATGAGGCAATTGAAAATATCATGGCCTGGGTCAGGCACATCTTAGTTCTTAAAGTGATATCTTTGCTTTTCAACATTTTAAAGAGGTCTTCTGCAGCAGATTTTCCCAATGCAATACGTCGTTTGATTTCTTTGCTGTTTCCATGGGCGTTGATCGTAGGTCCCCACTATTCACCCTCCCAATACCATCACCTTTCTTCATTTCTTGATTCCTTCTTTCTTTGTTAATGTCTGTCTCTCACCTCTCAAAGAGCATGCCTGCTTTATTCACTGTTGTATCACTAATGCCTGGCTCACAGTAGGTGGTCAGTAAGTGTTTGAAAGAATGAATGAATGTATCCACCCTTCCTGCCTTAGAATGCATGGGCCACCACTGGTAGCAGTGAAATGATGCTGGACAGCTCACAAAGGGCTTATTTTTCATTTGGCACAGTTCCTCCAAAGCTGGGGAAGTAGGAAGATTTGCCTACGTGGGCGCCTCCGTGCGCTTCGGCCACGCAGCTGGTTCGGGTTAGGATTTCATATCTCTTTGCATGTCGTTTGCATGGCTCAGCTCTGTGCTTCTGCTTCTGGTTTCCGGGTCTGTCCCCCGATCCTCAGAGCTGGACCACTACTTCTTTGGGTTCCTCCTGTGACCTGGCCCACCTGGCCAGAGATGGGGTCTGTCTGGAGGGAATGAATGCAGCGTTCATGCACTGAAAGCTTACTCAGTGTGCCCGCTGTGACATTTCATCTTCCCAACACTCTATGAGGTTAGTGCCATCATTATCCCCATTTTACAGACATGTAAACTGAGGTTTGGGAAAGGTAAAGCATTTGCCCAAAGTCATATGGGCAAAACAAATATCGCACTTGAGGTTTGAGCCCAAGTCTGTTGGATGCCAGAGGCCAGGCTTCATTGCGGAGCTGCACTGCCTGCCTTGGCTTCTGGAAGGAACCGGGAGCCCTCACACGTAACAAAGACCTTGGGCTGGCCCTGCCTGAGGTTCTCAGAATTCAGCATTTAGCACAGTTCCCTGTGGGGTGCTATAGCTTCTTGTTTAATCCTCTACTCAGTGGCCTTCCAGCCTGAGCTAAGCACCTTGGTTTCTCCTCAGTAGGGCAAGGAGCAGGGGCCAGGCAGGGTCTTTGGATAACTGGTAATGTTGCCAAGCCTCAGACGTGGGTCAGGAAAAGGAATGGCAAATGTGGAGGTTTCGGCAGAAAAAAAAACGAGTTGCCTGTGACCTGGGCACCCTACACAGAGGGTGTGGTGGGTGGGGGTGGGGCTCGTGAAGACAGCCTGCACCTGCGCGCCAGCCTTGGACGCCTGGCTCATTGAGGAGATCCCTGGGGCCTTCCCATCAGGAGCAGAGCTCCTGGCCCCATTCCTCGGGGTTTGGGGGATGCAGGCATGAGGCATTCAAAAAAGTCTCCAAGTGGTTCTGATTCTCCCCTGGGGGTCCTTCTGCCCAGCCCACCGGGGTCTGGCCACTCTGCGGCACTCCCTGGGCTCTTGGTAGTACTCACCGCTACCCTGGAGATCAGGCAAGCCCCAGCTACCTGTCTCCTTTCATCTCTGACTGCTCGCTTCCTAGAACTCTGGGCTGTGTCCTGCAGTCAGATACAGTGCTTCCAGAGGCAGCTGTAAGGGCCCTGCGGCTGCACCCACAGCTTTGTGGTATAGAGAGATGGATCGCAGTGGGCTGTGCCTGTTGCCTGTGCAGTCTGCCCTGCTGAACCACACGCTCCCCGGCCTGGTGCTCTCGGGGGAAGGAGCTCGGCTGGCTGACTGGTGTCTCTCCCCTCTGCAGGCGATGACTCAGGATGCAGCCAGGGGCCACGACGTGCACGGAGGACCGCATCCAGCATGCCCTGGAGCGCTGTTTGCATGGGCTCAGCCTCAGCCGCCGCTCCACTTCCTGGTCAGGTAAGTCCAAGGGAGCTGGGAGGCGTTCTTAGGACCCAGGGGAGCCTCAGGGCCCAGAGAGCACTGGACCAGGCTTGGGCAGCTGGCAGATTCTCGTTTGAGCCCCTGAACCTCACCTGGGCAGGTGCCCAGCACAGCACCTGATGTAGAGCAGGCCCTTGGTATAGGGCAGTTCCTCCTTCTTCATCCTCCTCAGCATGTGCTGAAAGCCTGTATAACTCCCTGGAGAAGGTATTGAACCTGCTTAGAGACACCTCAACTGCTGATTCCGAAAGAGCAGCTGGGAATTCGTAGCAGCTTTGCCCAGAATCCTCCTATTTGCTTGGTTTCTAGTTCCCTCTGTAGCCCCAGCATCCCCTTCCCTGTAGAGTTAGGGAGAATCTCAGCAGAGCTCCAGGGAGCAGGAGGCCTCCGTGTTCCCCAGGACTGAGAAATGGGGGTATCTGCAGGCTGGGGCAGTTGTGTCTCTGAAGACTAGCACATAGATGTGATAATTCCTTATGCTTGTAAAGATTTTTCAGATTCTCTCTCTCCCCTGTCTCCCTAACAACCCCATGAGATAGGCAGGGTAGTCACTATTGACTTCCTGCTCCTTGGGCATCCCTGGTTCCTTTCTGCCCCAGGACCTTTGCACTTGCTAGTCTCTGCCTGAAACTCTTCCCTCAGAACAACACATAGGCGGCTCTTTCTCATCAAAGTCTCAGCTTAAATGTCACCTCCTCTGAGCAAATTTCCCTGGTCTTTGGAATCAGATTTGGATTAAAACTGCTTCTCACTGGCTGTGCAACCATGTGCAAGTCACACACCCTCTCAAGCCCTCGCTTGCCTAGCCTGTAAAATGGGAATACTAACAACAGGGACCATTTTCCTGAAAGGAAGAAGGGAGACTCAACCGCAATCATGAATGCAAAGCCCTGGTGGTGCAATGGTTAAGCGCTTGGCTGCTAACCGAAATGTTGGCGGTTCGAACCCACCAGCAGCTCCGCAGGAGAAAAGACCTGATTATCTGCTCCTGTATAGATTACAGCCTAGGAAACCCTATGCGGCAGCTCTACTCTGTCCTATAGGGTCACTATGAGTCAGGACCGGCTCGACAGCACCTAACAACGACAATATTGTGTTGGCACATGGTAGGCAGTCATTAAACGGTAGTCTTCTTCCTGCCTGCCTCCCACCAGATTTTGATGGGGCCAAAAATTATAGAAGGGGACCGCAGTGGTTCAGTGGTAGAATCCTTGCCTTCCATGCGGGAGACCCATATTAGATTCCTGGCTAATGCACCTCAAGTACAGCCACCACCCACCTGTAAGTGGAGGCGTGTGTGTTGCTAGGATGCTGGCCAGGTTTCAGTGGAGCTTCCAGACTAAGACAAGCTAGGAGGAAAGGCCTGGTGATCTGCTTCTGAAAACTCAGCCACTGAAAAACCCAGGGAGCACAGTTCTACTCTGACACACATGGGGTTGCCATGAGTTGGCATGGACTCAATGGCAACTTGCTTTTAAGCTGATAGAATCTGGGGTGTCATCATTAAAAAAAGGAATAAAAAAAAAATCTGACTTTTGCAAATTTTAGAAAAACCTATCACCACTTGAACACATTGCTAGGGACCTTCTGAAGAAGGAGCCCATGCATGTGAGGGGCCTGGAGCTTCCGCTAGATGAAATTCAAGGTCATTTCCCGTCCACCCCTCCTGCTTCACTTTCCGCTACACAAGTACACGTGCATGCTGCACACGAATACGTGCGTACACACAGAGTCCCCCTGTGACCATCCCGTTAATTTTTAGGGGTTTACCCTTGCTGACTGCAGGGAAATAAACTGCCAAATAAGAAAGCCTGGGGAGGTTACAAAGTGACAAAGTGTGCATCTAGCTTTTGGAATTTAAATGAATTTAGCTTCTCCTTCCTGAGCTTCATTGCCAGGCAGTCGTGGGAAGTCCCAGGGCTGTCCCAGACCTTGTGTCCCAGGGCAGAGTGCACATGGTCCCCTTCTTTATTCCTCCAGCCCTCTCTGCTTCTGCCCCCCTTCCCTGCACCTGTAGGTCCCGGCACCCACTGTAGGAAGTCAGGGAAGGTGAGGTTGGGGAGAGCAGAATCAGGTCAGGCTCACTGGCTTCTAAGGGACCCCCAGCTGCAATACCCAATCCCCATCTCTTGAGCCCCCATATATGCAGGAAACATTGTTATGTCTTGATGGGATGTGGTAGGGTTGAGAGTTGGCCCAGCATTTTCTCCAAGACTCTCTTGCTTTAGAAGGAAATGTTTCTTCACCCCCGAGCTGAGGGCTGCTGAAAGAGACCCCCAACTGACCACTCGCCTTGCTCTCCATTTCAGCTGGGCTGTGTCTGAACTGCTGGAGCCTGCAGGAGCTGGTCAGCAGGGACCCGGGCCACTTTCTCATCCTCCTCGAGCAGATCCTGAAGAAAACCCGAGAGGTGAGGGCAGGGTAGGGATCGAAGGGCGGAGCGGGGACTGCCTCACAGAATTGAGAAGTCGGTCCTGAGGAATGGCAGGTCTGGGTGCCCAGACCACCAGGGGGGCTTGGCAAAGGCACTGGGAAGCCGTGAGTTTTCTGTTTCAGCAGTGCTTATAGACTGAAGGTTTCTAGGAAGGGGCGGAGTCCCTGGGTGGTGCAAATGGTTAATGTGCTCGGCTGCTAACCAAAAGATTGGAGGTTCAAGTCCACCCAGAGGTGCCTTGGAAAAAAGACCTGGCAACCTACTTCCACAAAATCAGCCATTGAAAACCCTATGGAGCACAGCTCTACTCGGATAACATGATGGCAGTTGGTAACTGGAGGAAGAGGTGTGGTCCTTTCAACAAAAACAAGAAATATTTGAGCAAGGGTCCTGCATGTAAGCAGCTGCTTAGGGCGGGCATTGCTTGTAAATCAAGGTATTGATTAAAAAGGATGAAGGAAACTTGGCGGAATTCCTTTCCTCAAAAAGATCCATAAAAACAAAGAAGTGAAAGAGAAGACTGATGGGAAAGGACAGAAAAGTAAACCGAGGTCTCCTCTCATTGTTTAATAAATTGGCTTTGGTGGCTAAAAGAGAGGACTGCATTTAACACTGAGCTGGGCTAGGGTTCCAGAGGATTCTGGCTCTCACAAAAAAATTCTCTTTTAAGCGTTTTTTTTTGTCTTCTTTTTTAATACACAGCTCAAGTGGGAAAACATGTGACTTTCTCAGGTGGCTATTTCTATAAGAAGAAAGTCTTTGTTCATCAAGACACCCTAGGTGATAATGCTGGCACCATTTAATGGGTGCTGTTATACCCTGGAAGCTCCCTGGGTGGCACAGTTTGCTCTCAACTACTAATCTAAAGGTCAGCGGTTTGAACCCACCCAGTAGTGCCACGGAAGAAAGGCCTAGCTGTCTGCTTCTGTAAAGATTACAGCCAAGAAAAGCTTATGGAGAAGTTCTACTCTGTAACACATGGGGTTGCCATGAGTTGGAATTGACTTGATGGCAACGGGTTAGTTTGGTTTTGGTTTATTATACCCTGATCACAAGCAAATCAACATAGAAGAGCTAAACAACCTCTGGAGTGCTTAACTTATAAAGCCAACTATAAAGGACCAAGTACCATGTAGCAATAGAGGAGGGTTTGATAGAATGAACTGAGAAGCAGGTATGAGGATACATCTTCTATTCAGGGTAAAGAGAAGGAGATTTCTAAGTTCAAGCCTGCTGAGGTTACCAGGCACGGCAGAGAAGGTGGGGCTCTCCCTGTGTCTTCATGAGCGCCAGAACAGACTGAGAGACTTTTAGCATTTTGACCAAAGATTCTAAAACATGGGTACGTGTGTGTATACGGTGTGTTGACTCTATCTGAATGCTTTCCAAATGAAGAAGTAATTCACCAAAGAATACACAGAACTTGTAAACACATAAAAAAAATATTTAGCCTCAGTTCTAATAAAATAAACGCAAATTAAGACCATAAAGGTATAGCATTTGCCTAGCAAAAGTTGTAATAACTAATAATTCAATCCAGTGAAGGGTTTGGTGAGACTGGTACCATGTATTCAAGACATTATAAATGGTGAGATACTTTTGGAAAGCCATTGGCAATACATTTCAAAGGTCATATATATGTTTTTAATCTTTGATCCATTGATTCTACTTCTTAAATATTAATAATTCAAACTATAGAAAAAAGAATGTGCACAAAAATGTTCATGGCGAAACGTGTGGAGCTCGTTGTCCAGTGGCCCCTGGAGGCTGGTTTTCCTGTCCCTGTCACACGTTTCTGTGCGCGATCAGTGTGTGTGAAGCTCAGAGCAGCCCAGAGTTGCCGGCCACCCACTAGCACCCCTTCAGTGTCATCTCTTTAAGTTGGGTTCTTGCATGTAAAATACTCCACGATAAATACAGAAATAAGCTTTCCTGTGTAAAAAAAAAAAATTCATTGCAACAACATATGAAAAAACAAGAAAATGAACTCAAATATTAAAATTAAAATGATAAAATTATGGAGATCTACCAGAAGGAATATTATCCAGCCAATAAAAATGATGGGTGTTATCTAAAATTCAATAGAGAATAAAAATTCATCAGTAAAAAATTTTAGATGATTTAGGAGAAATTGACTAAACATTTGGAAAAATACAGAGTGAGAGTCTTAACTTACACCACACACCGGATGAAATTCTAGATGGATTAAAGATTTAAATTTAAGAAAATTAAGCATCAAAGAAAAGGAGAAAGTATATATGAATATATATATGATCCTTGCGTGCAAAGCATGCAAAACCCATAAAAGAAAAACTAACACTTGAACTTTCTGTACATCAAAAAATTCCACAAAATTAAAAGACAAACAATAAACTGGAAAAAAATATTTACAACACAATAGATAAATGTGTTTAACAGGGTGGGGCGGGGGGAGGTGGACAAGATGGTCCTAGAGACCGTATAGCAAAATAGAAATTCACTTATTATATTTAAAAGATATCAAGAGTAAAAATATTCATACTATTATTATAACTTTACAGAAGAAAATGCACAGGGAAAAAATGGTATAAGGAAAAGTACGTTGAAAACATTAGCTGTGGTTGAGTTTGAATGGGGAGTATTGTGAGTGATTAATTTTTTTTACTTCTATTTTCCAATTTTTTTGTCTTGTGGTGACATTGCTTTTCACTTTAAAAACAAAAACAGACAAAAAAACAAGAAGGAATAGGAGGAGCCAGCGCTGCCCTGTGAATGCGCCTCACCCTTTCTCGTCCGTCTTTTCCACAGGTCCAAGAAAAAGGCACCTATGACCTCTTTGCCCCCCTGGCCCTGCTCTTCTACTCCACTGTCCTCTGTGTAAGTTCCAGAGTGGGCCAGGCTGGGGGAGGCAGGGGAGAATAAGGGGGGAACCACCAATGTGAGGGACACAGCCCTCACACCTCTGGAGATAAACACACAGAGAGAAAAACTGTCAAGTAACGAGATTTGAGTTGGTTTCAATCCACAAAATGGCAGTTTCACCTTCAGAGCGGCCATCTTGAGAGACCTTCGGTAACTCCATGTAGACGCCATTGTGCCTGGTATATCTGGTCTTCCGTATGGGAACTGCTGTCACAGCCTGTTCACAAGCCATGAGAGAGATTCTGTGGAGAGATTTTATAGCCCACCTCATTTTGTACTCCAATGGTCAGTTTTACACGATGTAATGACCCCTTTTGTTCACCAGATTGGTGGTTCCAAATGACTCCGTATATATACAATCAATTCACCCCCGAAGAATAAACATTTGCCTCTAGTGAGGATATTTAAATAAAGGTGATTTAGGCATTGAAGACCATTCCCCAAAATGAATGGCAGTAATGTTTGGTAAAAACAGGGTTCTTATAGTAGAGATATCCTGGGTGCCATCTTGCCCGTCTGTAACTCAGTCTCTGCGGGTAACTTCCAGTTCTTCCTTGCCTTGTCCTGGGAAATGTGTGCCCTTTGTGCAACATTCCAGAAAGGGAGCAGGGCCTGCTTTAGCATATCAGTGAGCTTTCTCTCATCCAGACCTCTCTGCTTGGTGGTCTCTCTCCATCCCAGACGCCACACTTCCCGCCCGACTCAGATCTCCTTCTGAAGGCAGCCAGAACCTACCACCGGTTCCTGACCTGGCCTCATCCTTATTGCAGCATCTGCCAGGAACTGCTCACCTTTATCGATGCTGAACTCAAGGCTCCTGGTAAGTGTTGAGGCAGCCGGCACATGGGGCCGGGGCAAGTGGTCAGGATGCTTCCAGCTTTTCTTAAACTGTTCTTTAACTATGAACCTCCTCACCTTGAATCCTCCTGCTTGTCTCTGCCCATGGCCTGGAGCAGAGCCTTGGAGTCTCCTCTTCATGGTGCACATGGCATGAGATGGCTGAGTATGCACAAGCTGAAAGCAGTAAACATGGGAGAGAACTCAAGGTGGAATTCTTAGAGGCAACTGGAGCCAGGGGTTTAGGGCAAGAAGACCCCACCACTTGGCTCTGCCTCAGTTCTGGTTAGTCAAGTGGTCTCTGAGAGACTCCTCAGGTAGACAGAGAGCGCCCAGGAATATTGACAAGGGGCCTTTGCTTGTTCTTTTTGCCCCAGGAGCAAAGAGGAACTTGCATGTGTGTATAGACTTCATTCTGGCCGGGAACGGTGGCTGCTGCTAGGAATGGAAATGTCAGTGGCCGCCATGACAAGTACAGACAAGGGTCTGGTGCTGTCTGAGTAGTCGTATGTGGGGTCTGAAGAGTAGGAGTTCTTGAAAAATTGCAGATACTGTTATAGACATGAACATGAGATCGAAGAAAACTATTACAGAGCAAGAGAAAACGTGATCAAGTATGATTTACTGAGCGGTGGCCCAATATTAGAAAATCTATTAATGTAATTCACTGAGCGATGGACCAATATTAGAAAATCTATTAATGTAATTCACCAACTCGATGGCTCAAAAGAATAAAGTCACATAAACATCTCAATAGATGCCTCTAAGATATCCAATGCAATTCAACATCCATTCCTGATATTCAGAACTCCTCTAATATGTGGAAAATATTAATACATGGAAATGTCCTTCATATAATAACAAACCACAGTGAAATACTGGAGGCATTTCCATTAAAGTTAATAACCTTCCTCTTTTTGCTTATAAGTACTTTGCTTATGCAAACAACAGCAATAAAGAATATTTCCTCTTCTGGAGAAGATAAAATTTTAATTATTTACAGATCAAACAATTGCTTACCTGTCAAGACTGTGAGAATCACCTGAAGAACTCTAGTAAACAGATAGCTTTCCTATATACTCTTAACCAGTAAGAAAACATAATAAAAAAAAACCGATCTATAATAACAACTAAAAATGTAAAATAAATGTGAATAACCTACATAGAGAAAACAAACTTTAAAATTTTATTTATTTTGTTGTTGTTGAGAGTATACACAGCAAAACATTCAACAGTTTCTACAGGTACAATTCAGTGACATTGATTACATTCTTCGAGTTGTGCAACCATTCTCACCCTCCTTTTCTGAGATGTTCCCCTCCCATTAATGTAAATTCACTGCCCCTTAAGTTTCCTGTCCAATCTTTTGAGTTGCTGTTGTCAATTTGATCCCATATAGATAGTTCTTAAAAGAGCATAATGCTCAAGGCAGACATTTTTACTAGTTAAGCTAAACTAGAGAAAACAAACATTGCTGGAGGAAAAATAATTGAAGAGACTTGTTACAAGATTGAAAGAATCAATATTATAATGATAGCAGGTGTTACGAAAATAAATATGAGTGCAGTCAAAATAACAAGACCTTTTAAAATTTAGCAAAATAAGTAAAGTCTATTTGAAAGAATAAATGCTGTAGAATAGCATTCATTTATGCACTTATTGTGTGTTTATTTTTTATTTATTACAGAAGATTAAGAATGAGATATTTCCCTTATACATCTTTGAAGGTGCTATCAGGATACAATTATTAAAATTGTACATTATTGGTATAAGAATAGACTAATGGAACAAAATATAATATCTATAAAAATTTATTATATAACAAAGTGTCATCCTCAAACCAGTGATGAAATAGTTAGTCATTTAATAAATGGTTATCAGGATAATTGACAGACTATTTAAAAAAAAAAAGAGTTGGAGTCATGTCTCAAAAAAAAAAAAAAAAAAGAAATTAAGAATAATTTACAGATAGGTTAAAGGTTTAAGTGTGGAAAACAAAACCATAAAAGTAATAGAAGAAAAATATGTTACATCAGTTTGGAGTGGAGAAGAGTTGCCAACCATAGCCCCAAGGTGAAAATTATAAAGGAAAAGACTGACAGATTTGAGAGCATAATATTTAAGCTTTTATATTGGGGGAGGGAAAAGGTAAATGATAAACTAAGAAAAATATTTGCAACAGAAAATTAATATATCAAACCCATGAAGAGTTCTTCTGAGTCAATTAAAAAATAGCCAAACACACTAATGGAAATATCAGTAAGGGACATTCAAGCACATCAAAGAAGAACCAAAAATGACCAAGCAACCCCCCCCACAAGATTCACCCTCATTAGCAATAAAATGCAAAACTAAACAACAGCAGACACCGTTTTGTTGTTGTTGCTTGTTTGTTTTGTCTATCAAATTGGCAAAATAAAAAGGAATGAAAATACTAGTATTGGTGAGAAAGGAGGGCCATGTTCTCTCCTGCCCTGCTGGTGCTGCATACATCAGTACAATCTTTTTGGAGAGCAGTTTAGAAAAAGCATCAGGAAGGTACATACCATTTCACCCAGCAATTCCACTCGTAGAAATTTATCTTGATGAGTAATGGTGGATGCACGCAAAGATTTAGCTACAAGGATGTTCACCAATGTGTTTTATCTGATAATCAACCAGTCCCGACAAACCTAAATATTCAACATAGCTGAATAAATTGTGGCAAAGTATTTTATGGAATGTTATTAAATCATTAAAAATGATATTGTACAAAAATGTTAATAATTTAAAAAAAGAAAAGGTAATGAAAAAAAGATCCTGTAGAAACATACTTACTGAGATAAAAAAATGTTGATTAAAAAACCAACTCAAAATAGATCAAAGACCTAAATATAAAATCTAAAATGATAAACATCGTGGAAGAAAAGATAGGGACAATGCTAGGAGCCCCTAGCTCCTGGCATAAATAGTATACAAACCATAACTAACAATGCACAAAACCCGGAAGAGAACCTAGATAACTGGGAGCTCCTAAAAATCAAACACTTGTGCTCATCAAAAGACTTCTACAAAAGAGTAAAAAGAGAACTACAGGTCTAATCTCTAAAATCTACAAGATACTGCAACACCTCAACAACAAAAAGACAAATAACCCAATTAAAAAACAAGCAAAGGATATGAACAGACACTTCACCAAAGAAGACATTCAGGCGGCTGACAGATACATGAGGAAATGCTCACTCACAATCATTAGCAGAGAAATGCAATCAAAACTACAATGAGATACCATCTCACCCCAAGAAGGCTGGCACTAATCCAAAAAACTCAAAATAATAAATGCTGGAGAGGTTGTGGAGAGACTGGAACACTTATGCACTGCTGGTGGGAGTGTAAAATGGTACAACCACTTTGGAAAATGATTTGGTGCTTCCTTAAAAAGCTAGAAATAGAAGTACCATAAGAACCAGCAATCCCACTCCTTGAAATACATCCTAAAGAAATAAGAGCCGTCACACGAATAGCTATATGCACACCCATGTTCATTGCAGCACTGTTCACAATAGCAAAAAGATGGAAACAACCTAGCCCATCAACAGAAGAATGGATAAACAAACTATGGTACATACACACAATGGAATACTACGTAACGATAACAGTGATGAATCCGCGAAACCTCTCACAACATGGATGAATCTGGAAGGCATTATGCTGAGTGAAATTAGTCAGTCACAAAAGGACAAGTATTGTCTGAGACCACTATTATAAGAAAAGATTTAAACACAGAAGAAAGCATTCTTTGATGGTTACGAGGGTGGGGAAGGAGGAGGAGAGGAATTCAGGAAAAAAAAAAGAGAAATTATTAAAAAAAAAATGTTGAGTAACTTGTTGAGTAAAAAAGCAGGCCCCAAAATACTATGTATGTTGTAATCCCATTTTTGTTTTTTCTTTTAAATGTATATATGTACCAGGTCACATTTAGTACTGAGAGCATTTAACTCTTATCACACACAGCGGATGGAAGTACCAAACTTTATTCCCGAATGACTCACGGACCGTAGGAAGCCCAGGGCTGAAGCTTTGCATATGAACTCCCTCAGAGGAGATCATGACTTCCTTCCCTAGAAAATTACTTATCAGTCTCCCCCAACCAATCAGCTGATCTATCTGCTCCCAGTCAATCAACTGTCTGTTCCCAACCAATCAATCAGCTGTCTGTTCTTACAACGAAGCAAAGCAGGCACAACAGGCTAGGGTTGGCCAACCCGAAAGCCTACCTATCATATGGTCTTCACCTCATGGCGGAGACTTAGAAGGGAGAGCTAAGAAAGCAGGAAACCGTGGGGAGAAGGTGTGGGACGAGGAAGGGTGCTGGGGTACATGATGAATAGGTCATCTGCCAACCTAACTTTCCAAGGCACCCTAAATGAGCAATCAGGTTTAAGAATCTCCCCATTTCCTCTCTCCCCATTGCCCAGCCCCCAAACAAACAAACAGATCTAGATCTCTTCTGGGCTTCTTGCTGATGACTAGAATTCTTTTAACAAGGGGCAAAGCTTTTCTTCATTTCCACAATTTAGAGGGAAAGGATTTAAAATGCAAATGCCTTGGCAGGGCCTTCAATTTATGCCAAAGGTCTAAGATGACTCTACTATTTTGAAATGGATGAGGGAGATCTTGGGTTAGAGGAGGGGTGTCATCTGTGGAGAGACTGCTTCCCAATTTCAAGTGGAACCAGCAGCTCTCCTCAGCTGAATGCACGCTATGCCATGAGGTATTTTTGTGGGTGACTGAGAAGGAACTCCTCTGGGCAGCCCAGCTGGCAGATGTGGAGGAGTGGGGCGAGCTCTGGTGAGGCCCAGACCCTGGGACAGTGGGATTCTAACCTTGGGGACAAGATCCAGGCAAAACAGCAACTGGAGATGGCAATAGAATGAGGGTCCTATGGCCTTAGAGCAGGGAAAACCCTTTGAGCCCCTGTCACTTGGGCCTTCCCCTCAACAT